CGCCGGTCCAGTTTACTGACATTTCTTTTAACCACGTTATTTTAAATAAGGCTTTTTCACTAACTAATGCGGGACGATTCAAGCGGCGGAGGAAGTTTCAGAGTCTCATTTTGTGATTTTAAACTCCAGCAGGCTCCCATAAAACGCGTTGAACAATCAATGGATGGTGATTGGACTGTGAAACTTCCACCGTCATGCTTGGGACCGTCCGAGTTGTTCTAAATGTGACAGACCCACATTCTATTGAAGCTACATGAACTAACAGAGGGGCGCTTTTACTAAAGTAGTGACACTGTGAATCAGTACAGCAGATTATGGGTTTGGGTGCCTAAAACAAAGAGAGATTTGACCATAACCATTGTTGCCTTTTGTGCTTTCAGTGTATTTATTTCTTTGTGTATTTATTGTATTTCTTTCTTTTCTTTCTTATCTTTATCTGTATTATATTTTGAAATACTTTCATTTTTCTGGGTGATTTTGTGTGATTTGAAATATATTTTGTATTTGTATGTATTTTATGCACCAATTGCACCAGGAACATTCCTCGAAGGTTGTTAAAAACCTACTTGGCAATAAACATAATTCTGATTCTGATTCTGACAATAAATCAATATAACAAACAATATTTCAGCCATAATATATAAAAGGCTGTAAGGTTTCACCCTGTAGTACAAAGTAATTGTTGTCAGATTAGCACGTCCAGTAGATAAGTGCCAAATTGCAACTTTGTGTATTAATTCTTGTTTGATATTATCAGCTGTCATTACTAAACAAGAAAATGTAGCTTACCATTATGTTTTAATTTTGGTAACCATGGATCATTATCATTTATGTCGGATGATGGAGAAGTTTTGTAGAAAATCTGAATCTGGGAGTAAACTACAGCTGTTTAAGACACGAAGTAGAGTAAAAAGTTAGAGCTTAATGCTATTTTCCCTCTGAAATCGTTATAAGACATTTAGGTAGAAGGAGATAAATGATTACCTAAAAATTTCCAGTACGATTACTCAAACTATTTTTCACCATTGGGATTTAATAAGGAAGAATCACTAGTTACACAATATGGTATCTGTGCACAGAACAGATATGCGTTGAAACATAACCACAACCTTCAAAGCCTAGTTGGAGCCTATAAAACTGCGCTGCCTACGGCCCGAAGAACGGGGACAAATACTCCCCAAAGGAAAACCATATTAGGCAAAATGAAGGAATAACACATCAGGACCAGGCAGTATCAAAGGGATGAAAGCAATCTCTCTCTCCCCCCATAATTACCTGTACTGATTCACCAGTGTCACTACTTTAGTAAACAGCGCCCTCTGTTGTTCATGTAGCTTCAATAAAATGTGGGTCTGTCACTTTAAGAAAAAACCTCGGACGGTCCCAAAGCATGACGGGTGGAAGTTTCACAGCCAATCACATCATTGTTGTCAACGCGTTGTTATGGAGCTGCTGGAGTTTAAATCACAAAATAATCTGAAACTCTCGCCGCTTGAATCGTCCCCATTAGTTAGATAAAACCTTATTTTAACGTGGTTTAAAAGAAAATGTCAGTAACTGACCGGCTGGACGTTTTACGGGAGCGTAACAAAGATTTACTGAACCAGCTGAAGCAGCGGAGAGAGACACTGGAGCGGCTGAGCGGCTGCAGTCAGGGCCGCAAGAGGGAGAGAGAGGCCGAGGAAGAGGAGAGCCTGACCGAGGGAGACCGCGGTCCTGCCAGGGCAGCCGTCTCCAGACCTACCGTGAGATTTTGGGGTAATGAAACTGTGTGTTTACATGAGCAACGAGACAAGATGTCCTCATTTTATTATGTATTAACTTATATCTGCCATTAGCTAACCAGTAGGTAGAAGCTGTTGTGTCATGTGCCAGACACATTAAACACAAAGCTTGGTTATATTCAGTCAATGCTTTGTCTAACGCTTAGGCTCATAACAAAGTTTAACTTCGACTAAATGCACTACACAACAGGTAGGGCTGCACAGTTAATCGAAATATTATCGAAATCGCAATATGGCCCGGTGCAATATCCAGTTTAATGAAGGTACAATGTGTGCCAGCAGCATTATAATGTCCTGGCATACAAATCTTGTTCTAAAACATCCCACCAGATGTCATATCGTCGTCATTTTAGTCGTTTTTTCTGTCAAAATAATCGCAATATGACTTTGGTACCATATCGTGCAGCCCTAAAACAAGCAGATACATGTAATTAATTGTAAAGTTCTTTGTTAACAGTTAACTTAAGGTCCAATAACTAGCAGCTTCTTCTCCAGCTGTCAACTGTATGTCAGTGGATGGAGTATAAGCTACTGTTGTACTGACAGAGATAGCTCAGATGAAGTGACACTTATCACATATTTGATGTATGCTGTAGAAACCCCCCAGAAAAAGCTAGTAAAAGCAATTTGGGTTTTTTTTTTAATGGTATTTTTGTGCTCTGATCTTTTCACGTTGCAATCATTACTCGATGGAGAAATCTTTCTGTCCATGTCTCCCATCAGACACATGTGAGGGACAAACGGGCATCCAGCACAGAGGAGGGACTGCTGAACATACCACACCATCACACCTTTTCAAAGACAACAACCGACATGCAGGAGTCCACATCAGGATGCAGGGTACGAGGCCAGCCAGCTCCAAGTCCTGTCTAGTAAATCACAGCAAAAAACAGGTAAGAAAAGGAACTGAGGACGGTCTACTCAAGTTTGTCTGTTTTAAAAAAATTTGCTGTACAATGCTGAGCAGCACTGCCTTAATCTTGTTCCCTAAACCTCAAGTTATTGCATTATGTAAGTTGTCCAAATTGGTTGACTTAAAGGAATAAGTAATCTCTTCAGTCTCTTACAGTATGCTCAGAGCATGGTACACGAAACAAAGGTTAATTCATAACACCAAGAGATATCGTTCACCTTTTTCATGCCTTAAATGTTTTGTTGATAACATCTCTTAATGTTTAAACAGGAATAACGATCTCTCTCTGAGGCACCATTGTGTCCCAGCACAACCTTTTAGTCCCGTACACAACATGAACACTTACACTATATGGGAAAAAAGTTTTCAGCCATACAAACAGGGACTGTAATGAGTTGGTCCCCCTTTTGCAGCTAGAACAGCTTCCACTCTTCTTGGAAGGCTGAGACAGAGTGTTTCTGTGGGAATTTGTTCCCATTCATTCTGTAGAGCATTTATGAGTTCAGGCACTGATGTTGGATGAGAAGGCCTGGCTCGCAATCTCCGTTCCAGTTCATCCCAAAGGTGCTCGATGGGGTTGAGGTCAGGGCTCTGTGCGGGCCAGTCAAGTTCTTCCACACCAAACTCATCAAACCATGTATTTATAGACCTTGCTTTGTGCGCTGGGGCACAATGTTGGAACAGAAAAGGCCTTCCCCAAACTGTTACCACAAAGTTGAAAGCATAGCATTGTCCAAAATGTCTTGGTATGCTGAAGCAGTAACATAGCCCTTCACTGGAGATAAGGGGCTTAGCCCAAACCCTGACACACAGCCCTGTACCATTATCCCTCCTCCACCAACACTTTCACCACGTTGAGCACAATGCAGTCAGGCAGGTAACGTTCTCCCGGCATCAGCCAAACCCAGACTCCACCATCTGACTGCCAAACAGAGAAGCGTGATTCGTCACCCCACAGGTGACTTTTACGCACCATGCGCCTCAGCAGTCGCTGACCCCACTCTGTGATTTTACGTGGCTTTCACGAACAGTCTTATTGCAGAGGTGGCATCCTATCACAGTACCACGCTTGAAGTCACTGAGCTCTTCAGAACGACCCATTTTGCATCACAAATGTTTGCAAATGGAGACTGCATGGCTAGGTGCTTGCTTTATACGCACTGTGGCACACGGGGTCTGATTGAAACACCTGAATTCAATCAATTAACAGGTGTGGCCAAATGCTCTTATCCATATAGTGTATATTATATTTATGATACGCTAGGGTTCATTTGGGTAAAGGTTACATGATACGAGAGTCAGAATAGAATAAGAATTTAGACATAATTACACTGTACATATGCAATGAAGATATTCAAACAGCTGTTTATGTGATAGGCATCATTTCCCTCACACTGACCACTAACACTCTGCACCACTTGTTTGTTTTTGTAGAGGGAGGCACATAGTCGGGTCACATTTGAGTCAGATGAATTCAGTGAGACACCTGCCTCAGACAGGCACCACTTGCAGCCTTTACTTGGGTATGACTGGATAGCAGGTACGACACATTGGTCTCTCTGTTTGCCTATTTCTATCTTATATTCATAATCATCTAATGGAGCTCTAATCAGCGTCGTTTGTGCCCTCTAAGGAGTCTTGGATGCTGAGGACTCCTTGATTGAGCGCTCTGACGAGTTCTTCAACGACCTGCGCACGTTTCGTTCGCTCAATAAAGACGAGTGTGTCCACGGCACACAGGCGGGGTGAGCGCTTCACACTTGATTGCCCTTGCGACTGATTATGTGTGTCAGTTTTTGCTGTGATTGATGATGGCTTCATTAAACTACTATTCATTGGCTCTCATCATAGATTTTCTGAGGAGAACCCTTCAGTCCTGTCACTGCTAACAGACAAGGACAGTCTGGAGGCTAACACAGATACTCATCAATGTAAGGAAGGATTATTTATGTGGATTGGCTGCTCTCATTTTTCTTGTCCAAAATCGCTGAAGTAATTCTCATCCCCGCTTGCTCGCCTTTTGTTCAGGTACATTCTCTTACAGGATTAACAGCAGACTGTTCCCCGTCCCACTTCACTTTCAAGAGTGCTGCCCGGTGTGCAAAAAGCATAAATCCACCCACTCTCACACTGTGGCTGACCCAGCTCTCATCAGGTAATGATGATGTGCACTTTGATTGCCTTTTACGACCACTTATGAACAACAGAGCACTTGATTGGCACTGGCCGACAGACATTTTTAATTGGGTATGCTCCCTGCTTGATGAACCCAGAAGACGATGGAGCCCTTGGGTGCAGCTGACATCTTTTACACTGTGCTATTTTATTACAGTCCTGTTCCTGGCTTTACTTGTATGTCTATGAATGTCGCTGTCAAATAACAGTACCTACAGTATCACTGTGTGTTCCTTTAAACACATTATAGCAGATTAAAAGGCATGTGAACCAAGAGAGTTGGTTTTCCAGGAGTCACCACTAGAACGAGAAAAAGTTTCTACTAGTAATAACAGTTCAGTAAAAGTCCCATGTATTTACTAGAGATACTCCATTTTTGAGAATGACTAATGCGTTATTATCAGTCCTCTCACACTCACTCCAAAAGCATGAGTGATTAAGAATTCCTGCTGAAAGTGATTAGTTAGGGCTTTAAAGCAGATGAAAAGACTTTCATTAAATTTTCTTTTCATGTTTAAGACATAACCCTTACACTCAGTATTTATTGTCAAGCTTAAAGGCCTAGTGTGTAACATTCAGGAGGATGTATTGGCAGAAATGAGATATGATATTGATACTGTAGATGTGTTTTAATATATATCGCCTCAAAATAATAATCGTTGTGTTTTTGGTACTTTAGAATGAGTAATTTATATCTACAGAGGGAGCGGGTCCTCTTCTATGGAGTCTGCCATGTTGAACCGCCTTTTCTACAGTAGCCCAGAACGGACAAACCAAACACTGGCTCTAGATAGGGCCTTTTCATGTTTTTTGTGACTTTCATGGCCAACGAAGAGATGAAAGGCTCCACGGTACTCGGTTGTAATCTGCAATTTCACCACTAGATGCCACTGAAGCCTACACACCGGTCCTTTAAATTACATTCACATCATCATGTTTTACCACTGTAGCAACATGTATGTTGTCTCATGAATTTCCTTTTTGTTTTGTTTTTATTTGTAAGGGTCAGCATCCCTCGCTCCGCCCTCTTGCCACCTTACAAATACAAAGCTCATCGCCGATGCAGTTTTGACCCCTCTGATAGTTTGGGATTACCTTCGGTGAGTAAGCGTTTGATTTAGGGAGACAATTTGTGACCACTAAGCTGTGATATTTCCCCCCTATTGTGATCTGTACATATTGTGCTAATGTCTGTATGTTTAAAGTAATTATTTTTATTTGTTATTCATGGTCTTGTCCAGCACTGTCTCTCAGGATGGTCAAATAAAGGTCAGAGCACGCTGCCGCCACCCAGCAGCCTCGATCTGCGGAGCAGTCTGGATACAAAGAACTCCAGCGGGTCACAGAACGAGGACCTGGAGGTGAGACACTGCAGGCTTTCCACTGTGTCTTAACAAAAAACAGACAAACCAACATTTTGACTTATCATAACAGGAAAAACACGGGTGGAACGAGCAAGCATTGACCATGAACCAGCTTGCACAATAACAAAACCCTGGAACTGGCTTATCTAAATGGAATGCAGCCGTCATTAATGTTATTATGTTAACAATACAGCTATGACACAAAACACTGTGTAGTAATCTAAAAACAAATGATTGTAGTGTACGGTGGCAAAGAGAAAGATCGATGTTGAATCCTGTGAGGACATACTGCACATGGCACAATTACATTATTTTTCAGGATCTCTCTGCGCCCAAAGTGTCCGGGAACCAGATCTCTGACCAGCTCTCAGATGTGTCCCGCTTGGCTCGTCACAACTTCGAGCACTTCTCTCCCAAAAGAAAACTACCCTTTGCACTGGTTTAGTAGTTCCTGTGAGATGTCTGAAACCCCCAAACACAATTTCCTTTTTTAATGCTCATGTTTCAAGTATCTGTATTGTATTTTTAGTAAATGTGTTCTTTCACTATTATGATATTATGATCTAAATAGAGAATGCATTATCTTGAAATAGATGAATGAGATAATTGTTTTCAAGAATGTAATAAGTTGATATGAAACATGTTATATTGTTTTCTGTCTATCATTTAAACATAATGTGATTAAAAACATGCTAGCTTAATGAAATGGGAATCATTTACTGACAGAGCAGCATATTCCACGTTTGCAGGAGTTGCATTTTATGTTCTTCATTTCTTATCTAAATTAAACACTTCATGTGACTGTCTTGTGGCCTTGTGGACATGAAGCAAGAGATCATGACGTTACGCCACAGTGGAAAGGGAAGATCTCTAACACATGCAGACTGTTTTAGGATCCCATAGCAAAAGTTACATTTGAGTTTGCCTCGACAATTTCGCAACACGAAGGAAGTTTTGAATAATGTGTTGCTCGGGCACCAGTTTGTTTCCCTTTCCAGTTGTTTGCTTTGGCTCCCAGGTTTACACATACTTCTGTTTTTGACTTCCTTTGACACTTCCTTACTATGAGGCTGAACACGCTGTAAAAAGGCTGAGGCCACTGTACATTAGAAAGGTTCACAGGAAACCACAACCACCTATATTTAATGTCAAATACTGTAGCAGTCCCACCTATGACACAAAGTTAGAGTGTACTATGTAAATGTAAATGTACCAGGGCTTTTTAAATGAAATCAACAAAAATTACCAATCAAATGAAGTTAGTTGTGATTCAAGTTCAACAGGAATACATCTATGTGTTGTTGTTTTTTTGAGTTCTTTTTGTTTGTTGAAGCTGCAATACTTTGATGTTTTGTACCTTCTCGTTCAAAGCAAAGCGTTTAACTGGCAAGCAGACCGTTGATCTTTATCTTAGAACTGGGAAGCCATGACACAAGAGTAAGAGTGAAGCTTTGTGTAAGATGAGGCTTTGAGATAGCTCATTTGATTTTTCACCACAAACTGTTGTTAAGTGGAAAAAATGCTTTGGAAGCACATTCTATCATCATATCTTCCTTTTCTTCTTCAGTCCTCTACGTGTTTTCAATCGCTGCTCATTTTCATTGGACAACTTGCAATGAAAAGTTGACCTACAACATCCTACCGAGAGGGCTTTGTCAGTAAACTAATCCAACACTCAGCACCCTGAAGTCAGTGATGTTTTTTTTTTCAGACAGACCATTTTTTGAGGTATTTATCGAAGGGAAATAAACCATTTCAAATGGGTGATTTACTTCACTGTCTTCTGATAAAGACTGTGACCTCCTTCCAATCACAAAGGCCAGTTTAATGTAGTGTTCCAACTTCAGGAAGACACAGGTTTCTATTTTACACAGTATGGAAAAAACAGGATTTGAAACTTGCTTGACACCAAAAAGACATCAGTGCAAACATCAGGCCTGCATTTCAGATGTACGTTGTAATTGTTTGGTAATTGCAGTCGAAAAACAGACTGATTATGAAAAGCTGCACTACATTACCACGCAATAAGAATGAAAGGAAGTAACTTAAGCAAAAATTCAACCAGACAGCATATTCATACCTGCCTGAAGCGGGTTTCAAGTCTGTCGTTTTCAAATCTTTGTTCTGCTTTCGGAACTAACTCAGCAATAAAGTACAGTATCCAAGATCAGTGCAGTTGGCCAAACGTGGGGAAAATGCAGCTTTGGTGCTTTAAACATTAAATTAAAATTGCCTTAGAATTACATGATAAGTGATTTTTGAGAAAACAAAACAATACCACAATGGGTGACGGAGCTGTTTCTGCTGTACCAGAGATATGCTGAGGATGTGGGAGGGGAAACTTTATGGTGAAATGTCAAACTTCTCACACAGGAACAAACTAAACACAGTGGCATTCATCTGGGCAAGACATCGGTGTCTACAGTACTGCTACTAGTCAGTAGTATACTGTAGGTAGAATACAATTGTGGTACAGAAATGTACATGTAAAACATCTGAATCACTGGTAAATTTTTGGGTAAATAACACAAAAAGGGGAATTGACCTGAGGGAAGGTTCCGACTATGTCTAGTCGTAAAGATTTTCTTAAGATGTGCTTGTTGGGAAATGATTCTGGCTGGATTTTGGTATTTAGTGAAATGCCGTATGACAAATTATTTTATAATAAAGTAAACCTTTTTTTTGCCTTTGTTTGACTTTATTCCTGTGTCACAGAGAGCTTAACTTGGGTCTCTGGTTCACAAAAGTGGACAACAATACCTTTATTATCTAATATAATGTATTATTATAAGTTGCATCATTATGACAATATCCTGCAGGACAGAACCCAACAGTTCTTTTTGACAAAAACACAGTAAGCCCTATTAACATCCTGTTTCAAACTCTGCGATAACTTAAACAATTGCTTGCCTGTACATAAACAAGAAGAGAAAATCTAAGCGTCCACTTCTGGTTTTGGAATTTAGTAATTTATTTTTTGACAAAATACATTTATCCATTTATGAATAAGATAATAATTTGTCATATAATGGATATGAGACCAGGTTATTAGCCTTGGATTAAAAAGATTTAAGTACCTAACAGTTAATCTCTATTTAATTTAATTACTTAATTCATTATGTGACTACAAAAAACAGCTGGCGGCCCCAGTGATGATTTAGATGCGTCCTCTTAAAAGAGGTGAATTAGATCCCTTTGTAAAGTTTTCATCTGTGTCAAATAAGTCACATTAAATCTACTTGGATTCAATGTCGTAAAACAACAACTGAAAACTTCTGAGTGGGTGTGAATACCTTTTATAGACACTTTATCTTTCCTTTAATCTGCTGCAGATCAAACATTCATAGTATTTTCATGCTGTATATACACAATGGATCAGACAAAAAGAAAATTTTCGTCCTCGTATAAACTCAATTCAACCTCATAATGGGTATTCACATCAGATCAGTAAATGTAGGTTAGAGCCTGCCTGCTTGTTTCCTTCCTCCAAACACTCACAGCTCAGTTCAAGGAAATTGCTCCTTGCACAGACTGCTGGCCCGCCTTCATACAATGATCAGTACAGATAACACACTGGTAGCTGTATTCTCTACTCTCTATAATTTGCTTTAAAGAAGCAATGAAGGACATACTTGTACTGCTGTTCCTGCTGAATGCTCAAACCATCAAGGTAGGTTTTGTGTGTGTCTGTCATCAGTGAGTTTTGCCATGCATGTTTGCGGCGCTTATCAAGAAACTCTGGACTTGGATATCAGCCAGTGTTCGTCCACTGACTAACGTACTGCCTAAACAAAATGTGAATTGTGTGTTTAGGTTTTACTTGGATTAATTCAAGGTTTTGTGAAGTTAAACACTTCACAAAACAGCATTTGAAAGTGTGTAAAATTGTTTTTTGTGTCATAACTCAACTTTGTCATGGAGCCAACAAAGGCAGAATTTCTTATTTCTTCTAAAACTTTCTCTTAACTCTTTTTCTGTAACAGTCCCTGATAGTTTAGTCCTTAGCGTGATAATGTTACATTACAGTAGAAAGTTTCACTGTAGAGAATTAACACCTAGCTGTTGTGTGGTGAACCTGTATGAATATTTGGTTTCGGTTGTTTGGCATCTGATGCATTTTCAGACTGAATGTCCCATTGTTAAGACACCCGGTAATGAAATGATGCAGCATGCCTTTCTATTATCGTCCAGTATCACTGTGCATTCCTGTTAAAGAAGTAGAGCAAGTAGAAAAACAAAACAAAAATGTAATGTTCTTGTCCATGAACTGTGAATAATAACGCAAAGCGACACTGGCGTTTATCTTTATCGCTACATCTCATGTCACCAGTGGTCTCACCACATAAGAAGTCTGTGCTTCTGAACCGAGGGCTTCTAGGTTGCCGCCTCTGTTTCCTGTAATACGAGAAACTGAGTGCTACCGTCAGCATTTTCTAACTTTTGCTTGTCATTGGAGGGCACTGTGGTAAGAGGCTTTCAATTCTTGCACAGGACAGGTGTGTCAGGAACTGTGTCATGACTTCTCAGCACACAAATACTGTGGTTCTAGTAGCTGTATTTGCGATATTTTGCTACGTGTGTGAGAGAGATTACTGCATGGATGCATGCGTGCATTCTGGGAGGGCCCCGCAAAGAGGAGAGATACTGTGCACCTCCTACAAATTCAGAACAATGCCTGCCTGTTAGACTGTGTCTGCAGCTCAGGCCAGAAGCATTACCATAAGGGAAAAGGTGGGCACAGGTGTAGGTGGTCTGGTTCTACTTTAAGCTCCTGTTTAACGAGCTGAAAAGCCAGTCATTGGTCACCTTGTCCATTTCCCCTGTCAGCCAATGACTAAATTGTTGATTTTATAATTACTATCTTTACTGATTGGTAGACTTATGATTTACCTCAGAGCAGGTGCATTTCAAAGAAAACGTCCGACTGATACAAAAGTGGGCTGCAAATATTTTCCACACAAGTCATTTCAAAATTACTACACTCACCTTGAAGCTCAAGGCCCCCCAACTTCATCGTCTCAATACAGCTCATGTATGTCAGAGGGTTACGAGAACATACTTTTATATTCTTCAGTCTTTACTATGCTCATCTGAACAGCCAAAGATGAGTTGCTCTTAAGTTTTGTCTCTCTTCCCCATAGGTCTGCTCTCAACCCTATCAACCAGGCTCAGAGGGAAGGTGTCTCAACACAGTAACAGAGTACCTCTCAGATGATTCTAACCTGTGCTGCAAGAAATGTTCCCCTGGTATGTGTTGTCCTGCAAGCACAGCAAGTACTACATGCTTATTAAATAACACACAGACTAATGGAAATGCTCAGGTACACACTGTAGTGAAAGACAAAGCTGCCAGCACAGAATAAAAGACAAAATAAAATGACACATGGTATGAAACACGTTGGTAATAGCTTGGGGGTTGAGGTGTGAAAAAACAGCCTCTACACTAGCTAAAGACATTCATCAGTGTCATTGTTCCATTCGGAGAGATAAGATTATAGTGTACACGAGTTTCCTTGTTTAAAGTAGAGCCAGTACAAAAATGACAAAATTGATTTGAGGTTGTTTAGAAACAGTGTCGCCTACACATACTTTGTCCTCCACATCATTGAAATACTTGGAAATTTAAAATTTCAACCCTGGAGTGTTATTGGTGGACATAAGAAGACATTTCTTCTTTTTTAACTTTTTAAAAAAATTTCAGTTTTAGGCTGCAAATCAAAGTCAATGATGTCTAGGTGGGCTGGCACAAACAACAATCTGGGGCACAGCAGCCTCTCTTCCGCATGAGGACGACTGAGCAGACAGCTGCTGCCATGGCAAAAAAAAAGACACGATCATATACTATGAAAATATGTAAATAAAAAACATAGCAAATCAAGATCAAGGCCCACTTTGAGTTATTTGTGAAAGAAAGCCATAACAGTGAAGTGAAAAAAAAACACCAAAATATGCCATAGAAGTGTAATAAAAACGGTCATAAGAAAGTGACCATATATGGTTCCTCGCCCAATAAAGGGTTAAAGTACTCATTATGCAGAAGAATACATATCACTGGGTGAAGCAATTAGTGATGCCTTAATGTGTAAAGCATCACTGATGTTGATGCAGGTAAAGGTGAGGATCATTTCAACTACTTTATATATTGCTGAGTATCTTTATGTATAAGAGTGCATAACTTACTAGTTGATTAATATTATGAATGAATAATCTGAATCAGATAAGTAACCAGTAACTAAAGCTGTAAACAAATGTAGTGCTGTAAAAAGTACAATATTTCTCTCTGAAATGTAGTGGAGTAGAATTAAATGGAAATACTCAAGTACAAATAACTCAAAATTGTACTTAAGTACAGTACTTTACTTAGTTACATTCCACGACTGAAGAGCAATGACAAGTTGATTTTGTTAACTATAAAATGTCTATATTGTCGTCATAACTGACCGTTCCCTGAGTCCTGCTTCCCATAGTTATTACTGTTGCTATGCCTGTCACTTTCTGTACTCACGTGGCACATGTCATTTACAAACAATTGCAGATTTACCACTCAAAATTCTTTAAGAGAGTAAGCAACTTTAATTAACCATTAATTTTGCTGTCTGACATGACAGCTGTCATTAGCAGATTTTTGGTTTGGTTAAATAACACAGCACTCTTCCAACTATCAACTCCTGTTGACTCATCTTGTAAAATGGGTCTTAAATATGCACTTAATGGTTACTTACTGTACATGATAATGGGCTAAAAGATTGATCCTAAATCAAAATTTCTCAGGCAAAAAGTCAGCGTCCTACCCAGTTGATGAACCATGTGTTGTAACGTAACCCTGTTTGGCTGCTCATATAAACTATTTGTCATTACAACACAGTCACACCAGACATCCCAGTGCCCCCACTACAATTCTCCCTCCTTTAAAACAGTTTACTCCATCTGTTGGTCCAACAATTAGTAGAGTATCTATACAGAACAGGAGGTATACAAAAATAATACACAGAATATTTTCATTAACATTAACATTGTAGAAAATATAAATGTAGAAAATAATAAAAAGTAAAAACTGAGATTTGGCTCTGCTGCCTGGCAATTAGTCCAGTCCTCACAATGTTATACAATGTAAACATGAAGCTATAGGCTCTGGCTGCAGCTTTAAGTCTCAAAATATCTGCATCATGGCCTTCAAACTGGCTCCCCAAGATTTCCTTTTATACATTTTTTAAATATAAAATACTATTTATACCATGGCTTGACTGAATACTGGATGGTTATTATTTACTGAGAGATCTGCATGCTAATTTGCAGGGCCCTATGCAGCGTGCGTAGTGTGCGTATAGGGCGGTCCGACTCTGTTATCATAAATCCTACAAAAGAAAAAGCTTTCTGGATGAGGACTAACCATTGTGTTTGACAAATTTAACGCAGCTGGCTAATGTAATGCTCTGTAAATGTCCCCAAATCTAACAAAGAGCAGGACAGTTAACTCTAAACACCTAATAGCTTCCAAGATCAGCTACTGTACCACACACTGTATATAATATGTGTATATGCCAATTATAAACAGGGCATTTTCAATTTTTTAGCTTAATGTGTAACCCCACAAACTAATGTAATCAGTTAATGATGTTCTCCTTTGGCTCAATTGTAGGTACGCTAGTTAGCCAGGCATGCTAATGATTGCTGTTTAGGGCAAAAAACTATTAAAAACTAACTAAAGTATTGCTCTCTATGTTAAACTTTTAAGGTGGCACTTCTGTCCACAGTCCAATTGGAGATTTCACAGCTTTACTCAGTGGTGTCCTGCAGGGTATACACAGTTATATTGAGTATACCCACTTTTAAATACCCTCTGATGTGCTTCATTCAGTTCTGCAAGCTTAATGTTTTTCCAAGATGGTAAAGGCATGATCATTGTCCAGTTTTGGAGTGGAGAAAGGAATAAAGAAGACTTCACTCAAAATGCATAATTATGTAGTTGTCTCACCTGTCTGTGGGCCAGTATTGATGCTTCTGTGGCTAATGATCCTTACACCCTGAGGTTAAGCAGCAGATGTTAAATGACATGTGCAAATACTACTGGACAATTTTTTTGATGAGCTAAATATGCAAGAGTTGTCTTACATGTCACATATAATATATATATATATATATATAATATATCATCATCCTTTGCTGGAAAAAAATAGCCAAAAACTGGCTTTATTGACCTTCTATTACTTCTATTAGGCAATAGAGATTAAAGGTACATTTGTTCGCGACACAGCAACCGTTTCGGCTTTGAAAGGCACCCACTGACTAGATCTGGGTGTGACCAGCATGCTTGAAAGTTGCAGCTCATGAAGAGCAGGAATGCAGACACACTGTTAAATATATCCACATTAGTTTGGACATGTTTTCAGTGTGATTTTTTTTTCATCTTATCAGTCCTCCCCACATCTTCCCACTCTTCCTGTAAAGATTCAGGCTATAAAAAACTGCTGATGTGCAATAATTTGATCTCATGTGCCCGTTAACCGGGACTCTCCCACTCAGGGCAGACTTAATTGTTTTGCATCCCACTTCTCTACTATGCAGTGAGTGAGGGGTAGTAGCAAGTGTTTGTTTAAATGCCTTATTAACTGTAAAAGGTGCCTACTAAGTTGCATAGCAACAGTATCTTACTGTGTTGTACAAAATATATATGTATCTGAAATTGATCTTTTAATTTAAAGTTCTTGTCTGTTTGTTACAATGCCCATGTGCTATTATAAAATGCATTTCAAGTGACTAACACGTGGAGGTGATGAGGATTCATTCATGTATATGTTACAACAGGGCAGCACCGGAAACAAGAATGCTCCGAAACTACTGAGACCGTGTGTGAACAATGTCCTGAAAGCACTTACATGGAGAGCTGGAACTACTATAAAAACTGCTTCACTTGTAAGAAATGCAAACCAGGTCAGTAGCAACTCTGTACATCTCTGTAAAAAAAAAAATCATTAATTGCTTTTATTCTTTATTCCTGCTTTTATTTTTTTTAACACATAACTGTCTCTATAAGTTAAAGGTTTGCAGTACCTCCAGAACTGCACCTCTACCACCATGTCCAAGTGTGGGTGCCAGCCTGGGATGTTTTGCATTATTGGATTTGATGACCCGTACTGTGATGCATGTAAAAAGTACAAGCCATGCAACCGTGGTTATGGAGTGTCTGTGCAAGGTACAGCACCTGCTACTTTTTAATAGTCACCATTTATATGTTTACCATACATGTAATTCAAACATATTTTATTTTAAAATGTAGGGATAAACCCTTTGTTACATGATCCATCTCATTTTTTCGTGAGGGTTTCATATATATCATCGCCAATTGCATGTGTCGGGAACAGAATTACAGTTTGAAGAGTTAGGACTTATAATAGTAAATTACAGTAATATAATTGTTCAGTTCCCAATCGTTTACCCACTGACTCTCAATCTCCACCATTGTTTTTATATATAGTAATAACTATATAATCAAACTAACTGCATCATATCCATCCTAATAGTGTCTTTTAGGTCTATATCAACCACACGTTGTCAAATGTGACTATTAGTCTAATCCAAAGTGTATCATACAGTTAAAATAAAATGTGATTTCTGATATATTGGGTGTTGTTCTCAGGGACAGCTGATTCCGATGTGAAGTGTGAACTGTGTCCCAATGGGACGTTCTCTGATACAGTCTCCTACACAGACCGCTGCCAGCCTCATACAAAGTGAGTGACAGATAATAACATCTGTATACAGCTGTTTTGGGAGCTCAGATCTTTGACCTCTCTCTCTCTCTCTGTTTCTCAGCTGTCATGGGAGGGTTACTGTTAGAAAAGGCGACGCTACCTCAGACACCATGTGTGGACCCGAGGCTATTGTATCCAGCTCACGGCCTCAAACGTTAACAAAAGATCCTCACACTGAGATTGTGTTCACAACTGCAAGTACAGTGACCTCAGATTCCAGGACTCTACATGGAGCGACAGACTCCACACAGACTCCATCTGATTCAGATTCATTCAGCCACTCAACAACAAGCCCACCACCAAGCACAGTAACCAATAAACTGGGTACAGTAACTGATTTGGTGTTTTCTAAGCAGTCATTATGAGAAAACTGTGATCTAATAAGTGTTTAAACATCTCTCTCTCTTTCTGTCTGTGTGTTTACCTCGCTGTTAGCTGTCATCGCCGTTGTCACTGGATTAATAAGCCTACTTCTTTTCATCGTCATCATTCTGGTGTTACGCTGTAAACCAGTCTGGAAGAAAGGTAACTGTATGCTGTTTGTTTTATGGAAACACTAGTGTGTACCTACACTATATTCACCTTCAACTTGAAATAAAGAATGATAATGACAAACATTATTTTTCAACATGTTTATCAGGAACTGTTTTTCTCACATTTTCACAACCATTACTGCATGTTCAGTCTTTTTTTGCACAGACGCTGCAAAATTTCATCCTAAAGTAGATGCAAATGGAAATTGTGAGACCGGTGATAAAGTGAGTCTTTCTTCGCATTTCTTCTTGAATACTTTTGAATACAGTTGCGGCTGTACAGAATGCATAGAATTCACCTTTCTGTGTCTTTCAATTGCAGATCAATCAGGGTTTTTTGGGGGAAACCCAGCTGACTTCATTAAAAGTAAGCTCACCAGAACAACAGCTTCTGCTGAAATCGGAATCCTGTAGTAGTAACAATACTGAACCTTTAACCAGAACAGACGGTGGCACCATCTACGACTCCACCTACCCTCTGCAGTCAATAATAGCTCCTAACAATCCACTTTCTGTTATGTCGGAGCCTATGTCTTTACACTCCAACATAGAGCCTCTTACTTCCCAGACCAGCCTCCCCACACAGTCTTCCTCGCAGCCCACCAGCCCACAGATCATCAGCCCCATGACCACCAGCCCTCACGTCAACGTCAACATCACTTTCAACATAGGCGGGACGCCGTCGATCATGTCCACAGACTTGATGCAAGTAGACTCAAAACTCCCCTTTGGAGAGGAAGAGAAGTCGTTTAGCATCCCACAGCAAGAAGATGGGAAACAATCACTGACATCAGTGCAGGAGAGTACAAGTTGCAGTGCATGAGGAGTCACCAGCATGACAGACTGATGATTTGTTTTTCATTCATACACCATTGAAAACAATCTGACTGGCTCCAAGATGCACTTGTTTGTTTGTTTATATGTATATATGATATGCTGTACATAAAGATGTGAATATTGTCTTTCCTCCAGTGGTGCAGAGCAAGTACAAGCAGCTGCACATTAAAAAGGGATATAAATTATGATGCAGTCTGCCGTTAACGTTCATATTGTAGAGAGTAGTATTGTAAGAGTATTAAATTACAGCCCCCATCTTCCTCCAACTCATCCCATATAAAGATATATCCCATACATGTTGTAAAATGTACAATTTGTGGAAAGTTGTGTATAAATAATACAATGTGTATTTTGTGTGACAGAATTATGATTTAATTTGTTAAGATTTCATCATACTTATATGTGTTGTATATTGTTGTCAGTGGTAGGGATGACTTGATACCCCAACCTTGAGTATCTGCTGATACCGATCCAATACTGTCTCTTATAAACAACTAAGTTGTTAGTAATACATTTGCATGGATGCACTTTGCTTGACCTAGCTATCTGAAACCATAATGCTCAAACTGTGAAACAAATATTCCACTTCAATGAAGGAAAAATACCTTTATGGAATAGTTTAAGCTAACGTATCGTATGGGATTATACTTTTTTCATCCGATCCAGTGATTTTGGCCAGTATTGGATCGATACACATACTTAGTATCGGATCAGCACATCTCTAGTCAGTGGTGGCAGGAAAGTATTTTGATCTTTTATCAAATAAGACATATAAATATAGTACAATAGTACTCATTAGGGAACAGGAAGCTGGTCAGTGTTACAGTGTTATGATTGCATTCGATTACTACTGACGCATTACTATGTAAGCAGTATTTTAATGTTGTAGCTGGTCACTGTAGAGCTAATTGTAACAGCTTTAGGTATAAAAAGTATATTTATTAAATGCAATAAAATCTCAATGTCCTCTTAATTGTAGTAGAGTAAAATGCACAATATTTCATTTAATTAAATGGAAATACTCAAGTAAAACACAAATATGTCAAATTTGTTGTTTGTTGCAAATGTACAACAATAATGGTAGTTAAGTTACATAGAAAACCTTTTATAAATGTTTAACTGGTGTCATCTATACATAGACTTATTTTAAAGACACACAAAAGATGTATTGATTTAGTACTGCACTTCTATTAAACAAAAGATTACATGTATTATATTCTTGCTCACCACCAGCATTGGGAAGAATATGGTGTTTTCTGTGGACCCTGCTGACCCCTGCTGGTTAAAGGCGGGTACTGCAGCTTGTGGAAGACCCTCTCGCTCGGGGTTATAAAACGTTTAAACACTGACAGGTCGTTTTGACACCAGTTCCGACACTTACTCTGTTTAAAGCCAGACATTTTCTGATCCGGATCCGGTCGCTGTTGGTGTATTTTACTCTGTTTGTTTGTTGTAATCGAGGCAGCTAAGCAGCGATGCTAACCGGGAGAATGAGAGGAGAGGAAGTCTGAGCCGCTCCATTTATAGACGGGGACAAAACTTTAAATTGTTGTTGTTTTTAAGCCTCATATTCCCTCCCTAAAGTCACTTAAATTCCCATATGAGAGACACATTTACTGTTATTCCCTTTTCGTAACGTTTTTATGGACGAACTGAAGTTATGTTGTAAATATTAACGTTTGATAACCCCCCCATCGTTCAGCGCAGTTGGTTGCGTCTGTTGCCGCTGTGTGTTGCTCTCCTTCCTGATAGACACTCGCACTGGAGCTGCTGAAGTCGCCACAGAGAGCTTGGTGAGTTCAAGCTTTTATATCTCTATTCCTATCCATTCCCTCGGTTATCAAATGTCATATTCAGATACTTATACCTCTCACGTGCTTTCCTCGGACCCACCTTTTTAATATGTAGCTTATTAAATGAGTGTTTTGCCCCTTTTTGTATGTGTATGTGTGTGTGTGTCTACCCCCTCTCTCTCTCTCATCCTCCCGCTGTGGTCGGCGGTGTCGTGGTCCTGGTGGGTTATGTTTACAAATCCAGCTTACAAACAAGGTGGAAGAAGCCAATTAAATAGCTTTTATGCTGAGCTGCAGCACAGATGTTGGCTCGGTAGTTTGTGGTAGATGGTAAGAATTGAAAGAAGCTAAATACATGCAGTTGAACCCCTTTTTTCCCCCCATAAGGGAATTTAAAAGGCAGCTTCTTCACACCGGGATAGGAGGAATATACTGATAATCCCGCTGCAGGTGTTTCCCTGTCTCCCTGTTGCTTGGTGCAGACAGTTAGCTGTGGAAATCAACAAATCCTCCACAAGGAGAGGGGGAACAGGATGCAGCAGGGCAAGGTGGAAGGGAAGTCTTTTTGTTGATAAAAGCAGCAGCATATTCAGGTGTTTCCTCAGGTGAAGGAGGAAGCTAACAAAGTGAAACTAGATTGCATTTGATTTCTCGTGAAAGCTAAAGGGAAATGACACTAAAATGGAGTTTAATCCTATTGTTAAGAAAGTGAGAGGTTACAAGAGAATCATAGGACATGTTGCAGGTTCTGTCTGATATTATTAATAGATTGTGCTGGTTATTAAGGTGGGTTTTTTTTTATCAACAACGCTCATGTCTTCTTTGTGTTTAAGTGCTTTCAAAGGGGACTAAAGCCTACTGTTCTCTCATTATTCATTCATCTGCTGGTTGTTGTTTCAAGAAATACATTTTTGGGTTAAGATGTTCAGAAAGTTGTGAAAAATACCCATCAGATTTTACCACAGCCCAATGTGGCATTTTAAGATTAGGTGTTTTGTTTGATTGATGGTCCCAAAATCCAAAAGTGGGTAATATATAGTCGTAAAGATAAAGAAAACAAATTTTAGAGAAGCTGGAACATATGAATGATTTCTTATTTTTTATGGTTTTTATTATAATTAATTGGTTCTTAATCTGTGATTAATCCAAATAGTTGCTGATTGATTTTCTGTTGATCCACTAATTGATTTTAAATTGTTAAACCTGCATTTTCATACACAGTTTTGAAATCTCTCAGCGTGAAATTGTCTGTTAAAAGGTCTCCTCATTGAAGTCAGTTTTGTTAATGTTTAACCAGAATAATCTGCTCCTGTTAATGATTTCTCTGTTATAAATGTATTAGTCCATAGGCTAGGTGCAATATAAACGATTTGTGGCATCTTACTGTTGCTATTTGTGATATTTCAACAGACAATTGAGGTGAAATCCCAAGATTCTTCTCAGTCGACTCCCCGCGTGACAGTAAACCACTCACTTGAAGATTAAACCAAGTATACCACCGCTCCAGAGAATTGCCCTCTTAGATGCCGCTCGGTCTCCGTGTTTGCAAATGGCTTGCTGTCTGAAGGACGAGCTCCTCTGTTCCATCTGCCTCAGCATCTACCAGGATCCCGTGAGCTTTGGCTGCGAGCACTACTTCTGCAGGAAGTGCATCACCGAGCACTGGAGCAGGCAGGAGCCTCACGGAACACGGGACTGCCCCGAGTGCCGGAGGACCTTCACCGACCCCCTCCTCTCGCCGAGTCTCAAGTTGTCCAACATTGTGGAGCGCTACTCGGCCTTCCCGCTGGACGCCATCCTCAACGCTCAGAGGAGCTCCTACCCCTGCAAGGACCACGAGAAGGTGAAGCTCTTCTGCCTCACTGACAAAAGTCTGGTGTGCTTCTTCTGCGACGAGCCGGCGCTACACGAGCAGCACCAAGTAACCACTATCGACGAGGCTTACGAGGAGATACAGGTCAGTTATAGCACGTACACTCTTGACAGCTCATTAGCGAGGGGGAGGCTGACATTTTCTTAAAACCCATCATCACCCTGCGCTACATTTAGGCAGTTGTACTCATTTGCCCCCGTGGGTGCTGCCCAGACAGTTCAGCCTCAGTCCTCCACTGCCACAGAGCAGCTCCCGTGAAGCAGTTTGGGGTTTTAGTGCTTTGGAGTGCAGTGGGTGCTGAGGAATGAAACCCTGATGCCGACGTTATCTAGCTCATCTGTGAGTTCAGCGTCATTCCTTCCGAAGCACTGTTGTTGTTTTTTACACAGAAATGCCATGGTTACATGACCAGTTTAAATTCTGGGAATATTTCATATGAAGTACAACAACAAATAAACAACAGTGATAATGGTGATAACGAGATAATGATACTGTGTTTTAGGTTTTAGATAAATTAGAGAAATATGTGTCAGTGAAGGGGTTTTTTGGAGTAAGGAGGTGGAAGTGCACGAGTAGATGTAAAGTGAGACCGAAAAAAGTTTCGATCAAGAATATTTTATATGACAGCGACTTTGAAGATACAAGCTTTCTTCCTAAGCTTGTATCATATGTGTTTACACTGACTCATATTTTCCACATTAACAGGAATGGTGCAGTGTTTGCTCTCCTCTCAGTGTTTGGATAATTCAGTTCCCACAGAGCCAAAATCCAATAACTGTGAAACAAAGCTCCTAATCCTGTTCCTTCTTTGCTCCAGTATGCAAAGAAACACATTCCAGTCTAATTTTTCTGTAGTCTGTCTCATTTCTCAAGTCTGCTCTTACCTACTATGCGTCTACTATGTAGACATTCAGACTTGACTCTATGTAACATGAAAACATTTGGTTTCCAGTTTTCTTGGTAGACCGCGAGGTGAACTTTCTGATAAGAAACAGACCAAAGTGTTGATGGTTAACACTCAGCAATGTGGGTTTGAAGGGTTTAAACTCTCCCATTGCGGCTCAGACCACACTGAGTGTCACACTAACATAATCTGTTTGGTTTCAGAGTTTCGGTGATCCATAACTGTGAGTGCACCGTTATACTTTCATCTTTGCTTTATGTCCACATTTTTAAAATGCCAGACTCTGTAACTCTATTATCCAGAGTCCTTCCTTGCAACCATATCAATGAGATGGCCTCGGCCTTTGACTATTCATTACACTGACCCCTTACACTCCTCTGAAACTGTATCTTTGACATTGCCAAGCTCATTTTGCCCTCACTGCTCTGAATCGGTGAGCAGGTTTTTATGCAGGCTGCAGCTGAATTATAAAGGACATCAGATGAAGAAACAGTGAGACAAAATTGATGAATGACATTTGTTTTTTAACACTATGGATGGCCGGAAATTACTTATATTAGAACTCAAGAACGGAAATACCATGCACTCAGTTAAGATGCTGTTACATTTAATTACTATCCAAGGAAAGATTGTTAAACTATATTTATGTTAGATTTATATTTATAGTTCTTGATTTTAGGTCATATTGTACAGCCCAACATCTACTAGCCTGGTTACAGACTACAAAAGCTGACAGCATCTGTGATTTTTCAGAGATTGAAGTAGGTCTGGTTTTGTGCTGATTGACAGCTGCCGGAAAAACAACCAAGCCAATCAGAGCTTTTGTAAACTGGATTAAGAACTGGGACATTATCTTTCTATGCCAGAGCTCAAAAAATGGCCATGGAAATAGTGACAAGTGTGGATGAGACAAGTTGTACGTTTACTTAACAAAGTTGCTTTACTCATCTCATTTATCTAAACCACTGATTGCATTGGACTTATCTGACATTACCAGTAACTTTGGACACAATGTACATATGATCCTTTAGACCGAACCTTACTTACTCTGTAGTACACATTGGTTCTGTGTATTTGTGTATTTGTACGTTATCATTAGAAGCGCTTGTTATCTTCCACAGCTGAGTGATTTTTTATTCTGTTGCTATTGTATTTCTGCACTTTGCTGTTCTGGCACATGCACCAAAACAAATCCCTTGTACACATGTGCTTGGTGAATAAAGTCTGATTATTAAAAATTGGAAATCCAGTCTAATTATCAGGCTTAATATCAATTTCCTTTAAATATTATTTGTTTTTAGGGAAAGAATCCTTCATTTTTTAATTGGATTATAACCAATTAACTCCATTGCGGTGGCTATGGGGAGAAAATGAATTAAAACATGAACTAAAAGACGAGTACAATGAATTCAATTAATAGATTACATGTAAACATGGTGAAGCGGTTGGTGTGGAGCTACAGTCGTGTCCTTCTGTGTTCTGCATTTAATGTAATTAACAGCGCTGTGAACATCAATGCTGTCCTCCTTAATTTTCAATCAGGCTCTGCGCTGGAAGCTTGAGAAAGGTCAAAACTGTGTAATCTTGGAGCAGAAGTAATTAGGCCCAGCACAAGATGTTTCTCTTTTCTTGGATACCAGCTTGTCCCTCTGTTTGGAGCTCTTTTCAAGGTGGTGATCTGGCATTTTGTATTCTGGCAGGAGCTTTGGAGGCTTCCCAGATCTACAATACTGAAAGAAAGTATGAGTACACAGAGGCCCCATAGGAAAACAACCAGGTCCCATGATGAGCTGGGCATACTCACTTTTTTAGATCAAGTAGGGTGGTTTGTTACTTAACATATCATCCTTACAAAACAAACACAAACAACAGAACCAGGCAGTAGATGGTGTTACAGTTATTTCCTGTCATGTTTGTTTGAGATCACAAAGTAAATTTTATCACAAATGTGTCGTCTGTCACTGTGAACTTCTTTTGATGTAGGATGGAGCCCATGTAAGTAATGTTATTAATCGACGTACAAGTTTACTTGTAATGCCTTTTTTCTCTCCAGTGAGCAGACAGGAGCTGTGTGTCAGATCCAAACAAATGTGAGAGCTGTGCCTGAAGGCAGAAACTTCACTTTTAGCATGAGGCTCAACAATGCTTAACTAAAGTGCCAAAACAACATGGTGAGGATGTGTTAAAGTGCAGCCGCAATCAGCTCCGCTGTTGAGACTATCTGGGCCAGAGGGGCTCACGTCGTGCCAGCTTTGGTGGCCTTCCTTTAAAATGAACCTTAAGAGTTTTTGTAGGGTGGGAAAGTTTGTAGATGAGGGGAAAGGGATTTGGTAGGTCGAGAGCCAAAGCTAGGCCTTTTTGTGTTCAATTGTTTGACACTTTGGCACATGGGATTGGCTCAAACTGTTTCTGCTACTCTATATGTTGTTCTGTCCACTGTTGGCCTGATATGATTCATCATGATTTGTGTGGTTCTGTGGTACTGTGACTCCTCTATAAAAAGAGTCCACAAAGAGGATTCTGCTTAAAATTGCCAAGTATTCTGTGAAGAGTTCTTAGGGAAAAGCCACAGAAAACATCCTGATGTCTGACTAATAATGGCTCACTATTACTATCAAATTCCCAGCAGTGTTTGCTTTCAGATTACGTCATCCTCTCACCTCATCACTTGCTAGAGGAGTCGGATGACGCAGATGTCCTCCATCACCTTGTTGTTGCTGAACACTGACAAATAGTGTTTCACAATCAAAGTCGTAGTAGACCAACACATCCAGTGGTCCACCATGATGAAATACAGAAACATAAAAACATGTCCTGCCCTGACCCAGAACTGCTGTTCCATATCAGGACTCTCTTGCCACATAGATATTTTACATACACATTTCAGTATTCAAAGCTTTAGACTTGATATTCTCAAACAGACTGACATCAACAACACACCGCCTTAACTCTGTGTTGACAGTGTGTTTGTTCGGCCAGTGACGAGGGGAGTCTTTGGTTGGTCTGTGGCAGGCTGTAATCTCCTTAGCTTGGCATGTCACTCCGCTGACCTCAGGCTGTGAGTCTTGTTGCTACGTTGAGAGCTTTACCTCCAGCTGATTTGCATCCTTTACTCCCCGTAAACGCTCCTGCTGCCAAATCACAAACACATCCAGCACCCGACCGTCACATTGTGACACACACACACACACACATCAGGCAAACATTCGCCCGACACATAATAGCTTGCTTGCGCATATTTCTCAACATAAAGGACATTAAGGTAGGATCGAGGAGGATTTGTCTGTGGGCCTGCCATTTGCTTCAGGGAGCGCAGCTTTCAACGGGAACTAATGCATTCTGATTAGGACGGGTTTTATTCCACCAATCATATTAGACGGCTTTAAACACCATTTAAATGTAATGTACAAGAACAGAATCACTCTTAATGCAAAATTATCTCAACTAAAACATTCAGATGAGCCCCAATCAGCACTAGAAATCTCCAGATTCTTAATGCAGTTTGACCATTTTAATCCTCCATTATTTTGTTGTGAATTATTTTCAGCCTGTCGGTCTTACTTTGAACTCAGTGAATGAGTTTATAACCAGAAATCCAGACATTCTTATCTGCCTGAGCCACATCCTTCACCCTGTAAAGTATGTGCTTTATGTTCTGGGAAATAATGCCTTTTTATTTTAGGCAGCATGGTTAATGGTGATGAGATTACAGTTCCCTCCCTCAGTCATGCTACTTGGAGTGCTGGCGCCATCTTAAATAGAGGTTGGCTGGATCGCTGTAACTCTGACTGGAGCTGGACGAAGTTGTGCACTTATTATCACACCACTATGGCCTAAAATTGGCAGGCAACTCCTGCAGAGAACAACGTGGAGGCCACAGCAACCACTGCGTATAATTGTGATGATCCAGACTGTCAGTTGGCCGGGTGCGACCACAGTATTGCACGGCGAGACAGACTCTTCCTGCAGTCTACTTACTCTAGGGACGTGTTTCCGCTCTACTTGACAGCGGTGTAAGACCAGATAAGAAGGGAAATAAGACTGCAGCTCCTGGTTATCCATGCATATTTGGGGACATAACTTTGTTCCAGAGACTATAGGTAGTGTAGATGGTATAGCAGCAGACAGCGGTGCATTGATGCTGGCCCACGCAGCAGAAGAATTAAATGATTACTGTGGT